TTTTCACATCAAAGGTTTTCTAGCTTTCTGCGTCCCCTTGTCCCAGCGAGAAGCGTTAGAAAACGCTCCAGTTGTTTTCGGAATTTAGAACGATAACGGGTGCTAGTCCGTGCGTCCAGTCTGTCCTGCTCTTCAAAAAAAACTGACGGACGTAGGAGGCTGCATTCTTACTTGAGTTTTGTGGAAATTAGCAATTATGAACCGAAATAAAGTCCAACGGCCTTCCAAGAAGTCGATGTTTTTGGCGCAAAAGATTGCAAACGCACACATTTCGGTAAGATGCAAATTACTAGGTCTGCCAAGATCGATCTTCGCTCTGTGATCCAGTCAGCAAGTAATTATGCGTTGCACAAATCAATGCTAAACTCTAGGAATTGAATACCCCAAATAGGCAGCCTAGTTTGGTCTTTCTGATCTTGCAGACACACCTGCGTGCTAAGTCGGAGTACTTAAACAGACCCTTCTTCTTCTTCTTCTTCTTCTTCTTCTTCTTCTTCTTCGTCTTCGTCTTTCTCTATGGTTTTGACAAGCACTTATCTCCGATAAATACAGCACGTTATTTCGTCGAAAACCCGAGATGATAATAAATAACAGGAGACCGCTAGGAGTGTTACTACCATTCCCCTAATTATATAAATGCAGCTCTGTTTAATTATGCCAACGTCCAATGTACATATACAAATTTAAGGTTCTTTGAAGAGGTAAGCGGACATCTGGTGAGTACAAAACTGATTAATGCTATGAGGAAAATGTAAACTTGCACTGGAACCATAGAACTTAACTGGAATGTGAGTAAGGGCAAATTCACTTAGAGAGAGAGAGAGAGCGAAAAAAAAGTAGATGCAGCACAATCTTCTCAATAAATCCATCACTCAGGACCTTGCTCAGAGAATCGCTGCGCTGGCGCATCTCAGACAAGCCAAGAAGAGAGTAATCTTAGATCAGAAGCAGAATACTTTACAACTATCCGACATGGGAGGCTCATACTTGGTGCATAACCTCTCCTCCAAGTAGCTAACGGTGCAACAACTATGAGTGCTCCAGCATGAGGCTTGTTTTAACACCGCCAATGCCGACCCGGTCGATTTCATAGCAGCCCTAGAGGCCATGTTTGTGAGGACGGAAACAACAGAGGACGAGAAACGCCCTGTACTACAACGTGTCACCTCCTTGCTGATGACATATCGACCGGCCCAATGTATGTCGAGGAGTGAGTCAAAATATTTTTAAAGACCTAAAAACAGACGATCATATTATCATTCTACCCGCGGATAAGGGACAGTCAACGGTCGCGATGAATCGAGACGACTAAAACGAGAAAGCCAAAAATCTACTTAATGATAGAGACTTCTACAGACCAGCGCAGCACTCAGAAGTCATGGCAGTAGCGAATTGGTTGAATAAATTACTTGGGGAAATAAACCGCCAAAATGTGATCACTAAGAACAAACGGCGCTTGATGAAACCGAAATATACTACCATGGCTTACCTCTATGGTCTGCCAAAGGTTCATAAACCAAATGTTCCATTGCGGCCAGTCAGTAGCCTGAAAGGCAGTCCCACCTATAACTGGGCAGAATGGATGTACCCGAAAATAAAATCCCTCCAAGCCAATTTGGGTACCTCCATCCTTTCAGCCTTCTTATTCCTGGCAGCCCTTCATGGCCGAAGAATTCAATCGGACGAAAGGATAATTTACTTTGAAGTGACATCATTATTCACGTCCATCCTACCGGGTTTAGCAAATGAGATCTTGCGAAGGAAACGGGGGGAGCTGTATAATAAAATCCAGAGCTCGCACGAAATTGAACGCCTCATGAAGCTGTTCGAATTTTGCCAAAAGACCTATTTCACTTTTGTAGGAGAAACTTATGAAAGATCAAGAGAACTCCGAAAAATCTAATTTTTAGGTTTTAATAAACAGAGGGCAGAATATAAATTTATGGAAACAAAGTTTGAAAGCACGGAAAATCGTGAAATATTCACCTAAAGGAGAGTCTAAAACTAATTATACGCAAATACCAGAAATATCAGTAAAACAATTTTACGAAGACAAACTTCTGTTGATAAACAAGAATGGTATGCTTAAAATTTCACTTGACAATTCTGTTTGCGTTAATTGGTCACAATTAGGTGCTTTTGGGGGTCACTACACCTGGAATTGGGTACCATGGGCTGATGGCAGCTAATAAACTAGAACTGACTATTTCTATCTCCTTTGACTTTGTCGGTTCCATTTCATCATAGTAGCAGAATTGTTCCTGCAAGAGCTGAAAAAGATTGCCTTCACACAACAGCGCCCGATATTTTGGCACCGTTACGTTGACGACACGTTTGTTATCGCCAAGAGGAACACGTTGCCGAATTTTCAGGATATCCTTAACTCGATCTTCCCAGCTATAAAATTCATGAGAGAAGAAGAAAAAGATCAGCGACGACGAATACCACACAGCTTCTCAATTTTTACAGCAACCATCCGGTGGCCCACAAAGGAAGGTGCGTGAGAACGCTGTTCAAGAGAATTCAAACTCACTGCAGTAACCCGGGAGAAGAAGCACGTGAGGTCCGATATCTTTGCGACCAGTTTATGCGAAATGGCTATCCTAAGGCCTTTATAAGCCGATACCTACGTGCTTGCGCTCCGGGGACTCAACTAGAAGTAGCCCGTACGATACGGCATGCGCTGTCATATATAAAGGGCGTGTCGGAAGGGCTGCGGGACTAGACGTCAGAATTACACATGTTCCAAGGCTACCATGCGCAGCCGGGTCATGAGGATCAAGGATCAATTAAATCCTAGTGAGCAGTCGGGTGTGGTGTATGGTATACCGTGCCTAAGCTGCCCTTTTAATTATACAGTGTAAACTGAACGCATGCTTGGTTCGCGCATACACGAGCATAAGCTGACTGTAAGACGGAGTGACTCATTGTGTTAAGTGGCTGCCCACACCTACGAGACGGGTCACGAGTTTTTCTTCGCAGCTGCGAAGATAATCGTCCACGCCGGCAGCAAGACAGGCCGAGAATTGATTGAAGCCTGGGCCTCGGATGAGAACTCAGCCAAGCGATCTGGCGCCAGCAAGCATCGCCCTGTACAGGCATCTCCAGACTGACATCGCTGGTGGTTGATTGACTCTTGCCCCTATAACTGTTACTTGTTTTTCTTTGCCGCATTTATCTCTGAGGATGGACTCCAGTAAGAGTTCGAAAGCTCAGAAGAATAGGGCCATGATTCGGTTGCTCCACGTGTCTTCTTCTTCTTCTTCTTTTCTACCTATACATATACATGGGATGCGAATATTACCTCACTTCGTAAGTCTAGTATCACTAAAAATTATTCCACACACAAGTCATTGTCCCTGTTGTGGGGTACACGTTGGATGTCGTCGGAAACGAGGGTCGACCTACCATTTGATCAGACAACTGTAACATATTCGTTGGGGATAAGGAAAACTGGGCTGGAATAATTCAGGATGCTAAAGACTGCGAGGGAGGGGGGCGGAATTATCGGTCCTAACGTAGACACAGTGATTTAGACTGCAGTGGAGCCAGCAAAACAGGTAAAGAGAAAATAAGGGCTGTGTTTATGTTGACTGAAACGGGTACTGAACCACCCACAGCTCGCCTGTTGGAGACCTTACTTGCTAATTTGCCTTGCATATGACATCAAGTGTTTCGTATGAAGCACCCAGGAGATGGGCGTACAGCCTATTGTGACCGTCTCTGGAGGGAGGAGGGAGGATAGAGGTGGGGGTGGTTCTTGAAGGTAAAAGATATCGGAGTTGATGAATAGCCATCTTCGCTCGTGCTGGAACGCTACTACGCCCTAGAGACTAGAGGCGTGGGGAGGCGGGGGGTGGCGTGCAAGTGGTGGAAGCCACACATTTCACGACAGACTGCCGCTACGACGGTTCGGCTGCCACTTGCGTGCAGGGCGAGGGGAGGAGCCGTTAGATAGTGGTGGTTTTGGTAAAGCGGTGGGGGAGACAAAGTGGTGAAAGCCAGTCTACCTACTATTCTTTGCTGTGTAACCCTAACACAACCAAAGACATTTCAGCTTGCTCATAAATTAATATCTAACTTGGATCAAATAAGTCTGTGTGTGTTTGGGAAAGATAGAGAGAGAGAGGGGGGAGTGAGGATACGCTGCATTTCGAAGGTGACATCCAAAATTTTCAGCAAAAATGGCTCTATTCACGGAGACCAAGGAATGAGTTGATGGAATACTCAAAAACCTAGAGGTTTGCATGAAATCCACATATATTACGGAGACAGGTCTAATGTCAGTTTCTGCATTTCCGTTTCTTTACACGCGAGGTGGGCGTTCTAGGAATGGGACCACAGAGTGTTGGTATACCGATGTACGGCAGGACATATGTCTGAAGCTTCAACGCATGGTAGAAGAAGCCTTTGCAGCCATTAATTCAGCGTCCAGTGGACGAGTAACTTCATCAAGAATGCGATCAACCAATTGCGTGACCGTTTTAAAGTATCGCTGTATTATAATGTCAGCTAAAAAGGCATAAGAAACACTGGCAACTGAAGGGAGCGTTCGGGAGATACGTTTTAAAATCAACAAGTTTTTTAAGCAAGGCCAGACAAATAACCACAGAGCAGTTGGAATGATGCTTTATAGACCGAGTCTGAAAGTGGCTATAAATATCTGGACCGAAATTTAGCAGGTACAGCCAACAGGCAGCCAGTAATATGCTTACGTTTCTTGAGTTAGCACACTGAAAGTCAATGCAAGTGAAAATGCTAGGCCGAGGAATTAATTGAGAAGAAGCAGATACGATCGCTGGGAAAAATCTTTATTTTTCTGACAGTTCGGATTGCGTCGCCGGGTGGGGTGACCTTTCGCGGTGATGAAAGTTCAGCAGGTCACGACCCGCACGCCGACCACCGAGCAATTGGCGCGCAAGGGGGCAACTAGCCTCGATAGGAGGAACCCGTTATTTACCATAGCTATGCAGTAGCATAGCGACTGTATTCTATAAATCCTGCAACTCTCTATGTATAAATTACCAGTTTCTGCTATTTTTGCTGATGATGGACCTGTGACAGAATCTGAAACTTCGGGGGAATAAAGTTATCCTGGCTGTATTATTAGTCAGAAGTGACATATTTAAAGTCAGCACTGGACATATATTGCCTCAATCACAACAAGAAATGTAGTAGTACTGATGCTAGCACTGGCGCTACCATTTGTCAGAGGTGAGGCCGATTAAGCCAACGCTAGGGCTCATGCCGCCTTGACCACAACAAGGAGTGTGAATCTGGGCTTAAACTCTCCCGAATAAGTACATGTTTAGGGCCTTAAGCACATCAAAGCTTGCCTTGGCTTCCACCCTCTCACCTCTGTCAATCAGGCTGTGTCAGTTTCTACTCGGTCCGTACAATGATACTGCTGCTACAAGTATGTGCCCATACTAAAGTGCTAATTATAGTAATCATGCTTACTAAGGCCAGTAAATAGTATACTTTGATACGGCCTATGTGTGATTTTTAAGAAGTCGGCACCCAGTATGCACTCCCAATCTGTATAAGGTAAATTGATTAGCTAATCGGTTAAATAAAGCGTTATCAAGTAATAGCGCAAGTCCTACCATGTCTTCATGTCGTAAAGTTTGCTGTCTTTAGACTACCTATAGACTTACTACAGTATCTATCTGTAACTTGGACTTAACGGAACGTCTATTCATATCCCCTCGACCCCAGCAGGGAGAGTGAGCTTGAATTTATGCTATTCCGAGTAACTGCATGTTCGGGGCCCGCAGCACATGGGAGCTTTCCTTGGTTTCCGCCCTCTCACCGCTGTCCACCAAAAGCTCTGTCACATTTTACTAAGTTTGGCCTAGTATACTGCTGCTAGAGGTAATATGCCACTGCTAAGAGTAGCAACCCAAGAGTTGGAAGCAGCCCAGTTCGGATGCTGACCTCGCACACACCTGAGGACTAAATGACCCCTTTCTGCGCGCGCGCATACCCGCAATGTTTCGGTGCCCGCAGTTTATTCGTTTGGTCTGTCGTGAAATTCGAACCCCCAGCAGGATGCTAA